CCTCCTCCTCCTCCTCCTCCTCCTCCTCCTCCTCCTCCTCCTCTCCACAAACTCCCTCCCTTCTAGCACTGATATTACCTAGTTGGGTCATGAAACGTCCTTCAAGAAAAAAACCAAACTCGGTGAGCACCAAGGATGTACAGTCTCCCTACTCCTCCCATCTCTCCCCTCTTCTCCACAAATCCCACTCCCTTCTATCACTGATGATATTACCTAGTTGGGTCATGAAACGTCCGCAAGAAAACCACCAACCTCGGAGAGCACCACCAAGAAACCACAGTCGTACTCCTCCTCCTATCACCCCCTCCTCCTCTCCACAAACTCCCCTCCCTTCTAGCGCTGATGATGTTATCTAGTTGGGTCATGAAACACCTGCAAGGAAACAACCCCAACTTGGAGAGAAGCAAGCGCCTTTCATTTCAGCCCCGAGCTACAAATATTCTCCTTTCTCGATAAACCTAAAAAAATAGACAAATGCCTCTTAAGGCAAAGCACAGATGTTGCCCCTTTGCCTTGCTGAGATACAATGGATGAGATGGACCATGGATGTGACTTTTCTAAGCCCCTGCCCCCCCGAAAGTGAAAGTGAAAGGGTTATTGGGGGAAAGTGTTAATACTAACGACCTGCGTATTGCTGTACTCCAGCGTATGCCTGTTGCAAAGGATCAGCCGTGGTGGGGCTTTGTGCTGCAAAGACACGAGAGAGAGAAGAAAAGAGAGGTTGAAAGACAGGTCAATGTCTCTGGGAAAGACAACACAACACAACGCGTCTGGTGATGTCGGTATAAGAGAATGACAGAGTTGGAAGGGACCTTGGAGGTCTTCTAGTCCAACCCCCTGCCCCCTACACCATTTCAGTCAAATCTCTTCTTTAAAAAAAACCTCCAGTGTTGGAGCATTTACAACTTCTGCAGGCAATTTGTTCCACTTATTAATTGTTCTAACTGTCAGGAAATTTCTGCTTAGTTCTAAGTTGCTTCTCTCCTTAGTTAGTTTCCATCTGTTGCTTCTTGTCCTGCCTTCAGGGGCTTTGGAGAATAGATTGAACCCCGTTCCTCCTCTCTGTGGCAGCCCCTCAAATATTGGAAGCCTGTTGTCCTGTCTCCTCTGGTCCTTCTCTTCCCTAGACTAGCCAGGCCCAGTTCCTGCAACCGTTCATCGTATGTTTTAGCCTCCAGTCCCCTAATCATCTTTGTTGCTCTTCCCTGGACTTTTTTCTAGAGTCTCAACGTCTTTTTTATAACGCGGTGACCAAAACTGGTTGCAGTACTCCAAGTCTGATCTTACTAAGGCTTTGTAAAGCGATAGTAGAACTTTTCCCGTATCTTGATTCTATCCCTCTGCTAATGCAGCCTAGGATTGCATTGGCCTTTTTGAAGGCTGAAGCGCACGGCTGACTCATACAGGGAGCCTTCAACTGACCAGAATCAAGCCCAACATTAACGGTTGCTCAGTGAACCGTTTGTCAAGTGAATCCGTCCCCTTGTACTGCTTTTCTTGCCACCTTTGTTAAGGGAATCAACGGCTTGTTGTTAAAATCAGAGACACAGTCGTTCAGTGAATCTGAGTTCTCCACGGACTTCGCTTGCCCACGGGTTGCAAAATGACTCCCGATCGTTGCAACCGTCGTAAATGCGAGTCAGTGGTTCAAGGATCCGAATGTAAGTCAGGTGACCACTGACTGGGATGCTGCCCCTGGTCATAAGTGTGAAAAATGGCCATAAGTCATTATTTTCAGTGCCATTGTAACTTTGAACAGGCACTAAATGACTACTGTGTTTCCCCAAAAATAAGACCCTGTCTTATATATGTTTTTGCCACCCAAAAAGGCACCAGGTCTTATTTTCAGGGGATGTTATCCACTGACTAACCTCACTTGCATTTGTTGCTCCTTGCCCGCTTAATTTTTACGCATGCACTCTGGAGTGGGTGGGATCTTACTTAGGGCTTATTTTTTTGGAGGGGTAGGGCTTATATTGGGCGCATGTGTAAAAATCAAGCTAGGACTTTCTTTCAGGGTAGGTTGTATTTTCAGGGAAACAGGTTATCTGCATTTAGTGACTTTCTCCTAGAACTTTTTCACATTTATATAAACATTTTACAAAAGCTGGCTGTGAGTTTTATTTATTAGATTCGTGGGCTGCCCATCCTGTCTACTCTAGCAATGGTGCATAAATATCATTGGAAAAAGAGACGAGAAAAAGTAGAGGAAAAAGCAAGTTATTAATAAAGAGCATACAGGGTTTTCAGGCGCTGTAAGTTGGACAAGAAATAATTTCCAGAATGACATTGATATAAATCTACATATTAAAATATTGCACATCAGTCTGGGAGTTGAAAAAAATATGTTGAAATAAATCAGCATTAAAATAAGATTATTGCATGGTAATTGGCAATTTTAAGCAGCATGATTTGAATGACAAATTATACGTTACAATAAGTTCTCTCTGGTTTGACAAATCTTACACGTTATAATCTTATGCTAGGAGAAACCCAGACTTAGGATGTGGCATGCAAAAAAATGATAATCATAAAAAAAAAAATATCCACATCATGTTAAAATCTCCCATCACATTTTAAAATATGCAGCTCATTTTGACGTTGATACATAAGCTCCTAACTTAATTTGCCCTTCTTTCATGAAAGAAATTATTTGTGTTTTTCGGTAAGAAAGATAGAATATGCTGGCAGCTGTTATCCTGTTCAAAGTCAGCTTGGTATATTTTATAAAAATACTAGCTCGATACCTGTACTTTGCTACAAAACTATGTGGGGTCGGGCTTAGTTTTGGGGGAGGAAAATAAGGGGAAGAATTGTCCCTTTGCCTGCCAGCATCCATAGGTATTCATCTGGCTAGTGTCCTGTCAGTGTGTGAGAGAGTTGAGGGCTGTTTGGAAACTGAAGCAGTATTTGCTGTGTGAGCAAGGAGACAGCAAGGAGCCTGGGCGTGGCTTAGCTCAACTGTTCTGTACTAAAGCTGCTTGGTGCTGTGAAACTGAAACTCCTCTGCTTGTGTTTTGCATTTGGAAGAGATTTTTTTCCAGGTGGGGAGGGGGAGTAGAACTCCTTAGCATCAGTGCATGTTAATAATAATAATAATAATAATAATAATAATAATAATAATATAGGAAATAATAATGCTCTGATGGTCATTTCAAAAAATCCTTTCTTAGTGAGCCCCTAAAAGCCAAGAGGAACATACGTGCCAAATTTCAGGTTTGTAGGCGTTACGGTTCAGGAGATTTTGTGATGATGCGTGAGGGGTCTTTTGCTTTTATATATAGAGATAAAGTTTAGTAATATTCAGTTTAAACAAAATAATGGCCTGCTAAAAAAATTCTACCTTTAAAATCTGTTTTATTAATCTATTAGAATAAGACAGATTTTAAAGGTAGAATTGAAAAGGAAGGAAAGGAAAGGAGAGGAAATTGGTGTTTTGTCGATGGTATATTAATCTAACATACCATCGATAAAACACCGATTTCTTCTCGGTGTAATATTAACTGTAAATTTGATATTTCTCTTCCATTGATAACTTCCCTCATCGCCAATCAATTACACAGATAGGCCTTGACTTATGACCACAGTTGAGTGCGAAATTTCGGTTGCTAACTGAGACATTGGTTCAGTGAGTTGTCCCCCCGCCGCCATTTTACAACCTCTCTTGCCACAGGTGTTCAGTGAATCACTGCCGTTGTTAAACGAATCCAGCTTCCCTGGGGATGCTGCAATGGTCATTAAGTGTGAAAAATGGTCATAAATCACTTTTTCCTGTTTCATTGTAACTTGTATGGTCATTAAGCAAACTGTTGTATGTTGCATTGTTCAAATTCTGAATCCACTTGGTCATAACTATGCTTAACTGGCTGAGTTCCTAAACTGTACTTCAGTAAGTTTTAAATAAATCTTGCCAAATGATTAAAACAGAATGGCTTTTGTTTTAATTCGGTTGAATCTGTCGTTGTGCCAACTTACAGAGTACGGAATACCAAAGGGACCTTGGAGGTCTTCTAGTCTAACCCCTGGCTCAAGTGGGAGAAGACCTGATACTACTTTGGACAAATGGCTGTTCAATCTCTCCTCTCCTCTTCCATTCCATTCCATTCCATTCCATTCCATTTCATTCCCTATTTTCTATTCTATTCTATTCTATTCTATTCTATTCTATTCTATTCTATTCTATTCTATTCTATTCTATTCTATTCTATTCTATCCTATCCTATCCTATCCTATCCGGCCCTGCCCTATCCTACCCTACCCTACTCTATTCCATTCCATTCCATTCCATTCCATTCCACTCCACTCCAGTCTCCATTTCATTCCATTCCATTTCATTCCATATTTTCTATTCTATTCTATTCTATTCTATTCTAT